CTCAGTAGGTAAAATGACTACGTCGCCAGTATCCTGTGTCCTCTTGAGTCCAGAGGCGGCGGATACGGCGGGAATCTTGGGCCCGGTCTGCCTCTGTTACTACCTGAATCATGCAGGAAAAAGGAATATAGCTGGAATATGACTGCGCAGAACAAGATCGTGCAGGTGTTTTCAGATGTATCGTGTGTGTTGTTCCCTGGCATGCGTGCGTGCCATACCTAAAGCACCTGGTGGGGAGCATTCAAGCACCAAGGTCAGCCAATCGGGAAACAGCCCGCATTGTTCAACCTTGCTGCCAAAAATTTCCAGCGGAAGGACGCTTTTCTCATTCTCTCCAACAGCAGCTCGTTCTCTGACGCCAAACTCCCCGTCAATTGTCCGTTTTCCCAGGGGACTTGGAGCTCTTTTCTGGTCTTTTTTTACGCGTTCAACTTGTTTCCGACCGGCAATCATCGCAAGCTAAAATGGTTGGACCAACCGCCTCCCTTACTCCTCTTACCCGCGCCGACGGGTCGGCATCCTACAAATGTCCTTCGACGGGGTTCGACGTCCTAGGTTCCGTAAATGCTCCTGTCGAGCTGCCTGGCCGCCGTGACGCATTGAAGCCTGAAGAGGCGACTATCGAAGTTTTTGTGAAGCCTGGCACCACTCCTGGTGGGGTTGGTGAAAGATATGTCGAGGGCGTCCTGAAGACTATGCTGGGAAGGTTGATCCTGGGACGAGAGAAAGGATATCCTCGCCGAGGCGTTGTCCTTACATTGGCGATAGTGGGTGGTCAAAATGTCTGTCGGGGAGATTCGGTGAGTTTTTATTTCAATGGTGGTGAAATGTTAAAACTTAGGCGTCAGGGGGCACCGCTGACTTTGGCCTGTACTCAACAGTATCTGACTATCCTTCCTGCTCTTCTCCATGCTTCTCTTCTGGCTCTAATCTCGGCTTCTGTTCCCCTATCAATGACCTTTACTGCATCCGTCCTGGCAGTCACATCGTCAGGAGATGTTATCCGACAGCCTTCTGTTAGCCAAGCGGCAACCGCGAAATCTCTTCATGTTCTAGCATTCTCCAGCAAGGGCCACCTACTTCTGAATGAAAGCCAGGGAACATTCGACTTCGCTACCTGGGAAACAGTTCATCAGCATGCCTCCGCAATCTGTCGCGGGACATTGGCTGGTAGTGCCGATGGCGATGTCACCATGGAGGAAGAGGCAGATGAACAAGGGATGGATAAATTTATGCGGGAGACTATTGAGGACAAGGTCTACCAGGATTATGCATGGAAGATTAATGCGGCGTGATGTTGGGGCCGGAGTGATCACAGCTGCATGAACATACTGATATCACATAGGTGCTATTTCGGGATGCTCCTCAAAGCCCATGGCTTCCCGCGCATTCGGCAACGTCAGATTCGCTCCTTTGGCATGACCAGAGCGCATTTTGGCGTCCGCACTATTGCAAGGCACATCCTGGGGCCCTTCCATTGGTGCGCACAGGCGTTTTGCTCTCCAGCGTCACCGTGTTTGACGGGTTCTTCCACGAGCCCATACCGCAACGACAGTAATCTAGTCTCCGGCTCTAAAGTTTCTGGCCTTGATGTGCTATCACGCTGTCGACTTCTGCTAGAATATCTTTGGCCGTTCCTGGGGGATATTCGTTTTGACACTGAATTTCTAAATATGGATCACCAACTGGAGAAAACACCTTCTCCAACGTGCAGAATACAGGACTGAATTAGCCAGCTATAAACTCAAATTCTATGAGATATTTACAGCACGTCCAGCAAACTGGCGATTACGAATGAATCCGTGGTGACTTGACCTTATTGCCACGATCCCTCTTCCCTCAGGTTTCCGCGTCCGCTGGATTACTGTTCCTCCCATTCCTGGGACCAGAGCCTTTATGTTAAAGAAATGCCATTTTTCCCCCTTAAGAATAAAGTAGCACCTCCTTGGAGCACCGAGATGACGATGTGCATTCCATCAGAAAGAATGCGGCTCCACCTTGTTCTGGTAATGTAAAACAACATGCTTTTGTGATGATTAGTGATCTTCCTGAAATGATGATGAAAGACTAACGCACGCCTGACCATGGAAGCAGATGGAAGTATTTGACTGGAGTGCCATTAATGGCCGGAGATTCTTACTCGCGATCCCTGGCTGAGGAGGATGACTGTAATCCGCCGCCAAAACCCGTTACATCCGAACATGGCTGCCGCGGCTGCTCCGCCTTCTCCAGTACCAGACTAGGACCTAGTCTCGGTCCTTTTCCCCCGTTCCATGTTGGCCATTCTTCCCTTTTTGTCCACCTTCCGCTGGAAATAACAATAATTCCGTCTTACGTCTAAGAGACACAACACCCCAAGTCAATGGAATAATCACAAATCCCCCCTCTCAAGGCAGTCGGCCCTACACCTCTGTCACTCATTTGCGGCCTTTGTCATCATCATGGCTTCCTCTTCTTCAAGCCATGGCCCCCTAAAACCCCTGTCCGACTCCCTTCCCTCTGGATCCTCCGCTCTCTCGTCATCCTCATCACCACCGCTCTCCTCCGCAGCCCCACTATCAGGTCCAACTTCTCCAGACTCTTGTCCCTTGACGTCCACAACTGTCGGTGCATCGCTCCTTCGGGACTATGCCAGTCATATAGATCCTTCTCAGTCGACAAATGATCTTCATGTGAACCAACCCACCTCCGGACTGTCCAACAGTAGGGCCAACGTCCCGCAGAAGCTTGAGCTTCACCAGGCAGAGACGCCGCCCGTCGCCTCATTACCCTCGTCCCCTTTCCTCTCTTTCCGCAGTGCGGGTCCCTTGGGTTCACAGCACCGCAAGAACGCATCTTCAAGCGACCTTATACCCCGACAGACGATCATGAAGGCCCTCGCGTCGCGACCGTCGCTGTGCACCAATCCCAATTCCAATGCGCCGCTGGCGGCGTCTTTAGGATTCCTAGCCACAAGCCCCAACTCGAGTTCTTCAGCGGAGACAGAGCAACAACGGTCCAGCAACTCATCGTCTCAGAAACTTTCCGCGGCTCTTTCGAATCTACAGCTGGGCAAATACCTGGAAAGGTCGCCCTCCACGGCGCAGCTGGTCCTGCAATCGCCATGCTTTTACCATCGACGGTTTGACGATGCCGTCAACATTCAGAAGGTGCTGGAGGAAATCGCTGACGATGAGTGGTTGTCTCATTCTCGGCTGGTACAAACTGCAACCGGAGTTCGGGAGGTGTCGAAGCAGCTTCAAAGGCGGCCAATCAAACGGGCAGTGAAAAACGTGATGATTGTGACAAAGGCGCGCGATAACCGCCTGGTGCACCTGACACGAGAGCTGGCTGAGTGGCTTCTCTCGACCCCGCGATATGGGAGCGACCTGGGGGTTAATGTATGGGTCGATTCCAAGCTACGGAATTCCAAACGATTCGACGCAGCGGGACTGCTGCAATCGGAGCCGCGTTTTGAATCGATGTTGCATTACTGGACTCCGGATCTCTGTTGGGCCGCGCCGGAGAAATTTGATCTTGTTCTTACATTAGGCGGAGATGGTACGGTTCTATTCACGTCGTGGCTTTTCCAGCGGATTGTTCCGCCGGTGCTCTGCTTCTCGCTGGGAAGCCTGGGCTTTCTGACGAATTTCGAGTTTGAGAATTACAAATCACATTTGAATGCTGTCATGGGAGACGTCGGTATGCGCGTCAACCTGAGGATGCGGTTCACCTGCACGGTCTTCCGCAAGGACCGAAGCAAAGGGGCAGAAGCAGGTGCAGTCGAAGAAGGGGAGCAATTCGAGGTCCTAAACGAGTTGGTTATAGATCGGGGGCCTTCACCTTATGTGTCAAATCTTGAGTTGTACGCCGACAATGATCTCTTGACCGTTGTCCAGGCGGACGGCTGTATCTTCTCCACGCCGACCGGTAAGTTCTCTGAACCTGGTTCAAATGGTTTAAATGGTTCACCCATTGGCTAACGCTTCGGTTTAGGATCTACGGCGTACTCTCTGTCCGCAGGTGGCTCTCTTATCCATCCTTCGATTCCTGGCATTCTTCTTACTCCTATCTGCCCCCACACTCTGTCTTTCCGTCCAATGGTGCTGTCAGACTCGCTGTTGCTCCGTATCGCCGTTCCGCTGGGATCCCGATCCAGTGCCTACTGTTCATTTGATGGCAAGGGACGAGTTGAGCTCCGCCAAGGGGACTATGTGACCGTTGAAGCCAGCCAGTACCCCTTTCCTACCGTGGTCTCCGGTAGCGGGGAATGGTTTGAAAGTGTTCAACGCGCACTGCGTTGGAACACGCGCGGAGCGGTCCAGAAAAGCTGGAATCGCGATGGCAGTGATGACATATACGCAGACGAGGAAGAGGAGGAATGGGACATAGATACCGATGCCGGTCTGGTTGGCACCGACAGCGGTATCGGGCCCAGCGAGGACGGTGACTCGGGGACTACCAGTCCGATGAAGCGACAGATGAGCCTGCTCAATATGTAGCTGGCTGCGCTGGCCCTTTTGTATATTTCGCTTGTGTTTTATTCGTGTTACACTTTACTGCGGATGCTTTCCGCGAGACATTGCGCATCCACTATGGGACTGGCGTTGGTTGTATACATTTGCTCAAGGGATATGGGACATTCGCTTTGCTCGAAGAACGATGGGATAGAATCTCAGGGATGTTGCTTATACAGTCATAGAATATCTTGCTCAAGGCACAAAGGTGTGCTTAAGATACTTCGTCACTACCTTTCTTTTGCAAAACTCACTTGATCTGAGGAGTCTCTTCCCCGTTTTTGCTTATGAGCGGAAACTTGCTATGGTACAATTGAAATATTAGAGGAATGGACACTACCTCAATGATCCATTCGGACTATATCTCTTCATACACTCACATGAATGCCATGCGCAAACCAAATTCAAAACCATAGTTCGAAGTAGACAATATTTTCAACAAAAGGCACACGTCGATCTATGAAGTAAAGCCGAGCCAAATATCATACCACATATATACCACACTTACCAATCACAACTCTCAGACAAGAGCGAAGCAAGCTCCTCGAGCCACTTCTTATCCTCCTCATCGAACCCAGCCGGCTCCGTACAATCAATATCGATGATCGCAACCGTCTACCACCACGAATTAGCAACACAACAGAACACACCTCAACCCTCCAACGGAATCAACAAACTCACCTCCCCACCAGCCAAAATCGGCACCACAATCTCACTCCGACTACTCGCGTCGCAGGCAATATGGCCCGGGAAACTCAACACGTCCGGCACAATCACCGTCTCGCGCTTCTCCGCCGCGGTACCGCACACGCCGCGCCCGAAACGGATCTCCTGGCAGGCGGGGCGGCCCTGGAATGGGCCCAGCAGCAGGACATTGGTGTTGCTGCTTGGTGTGTTCTGGGACGAGCCGAGCGCGGGGAATTTATCCTGGCGGATGTAGAAGCCTGCCCAGTTTACGGAGGAGGAGGGGGACGGGAGGGCGGCGTAGGCGTGCCAGAGGAGGGAGGCGACGTTGGAGAAGTTGCTGTCTTTGTTAGAAGACCAAGATCATGTGTGCTTGGTGGGGTTGGTAGGTGTGTTTACCTGACCTGTAGTTGTGTTAGCGAGTTAGGTAAAGGGATGTGGAGCTGGGGGAAAAAGGCTTACCCAATTGCGCTGGCCTGTCACTAGGCCTTTGGCTTGTTGGAGGACTTGTGCGTATACCTCTGCCTTGGTGGGCTCTTGGGAGGTTGAGAAGTAGGAGGAGTCGGCGTGAGGCTGGATTGTGGTTGTGGTCAGCGCATGCCTGGAATGTGTGGTGTGGGTAGGATGTTGAGCAGACGGGGTAGTGACGCACCATGATGGAAGATGTAATGTCCTGTCAGGTTTATATTTGCAAAAGTAGCTAATTGTGTAAGTGTAGTGCTGCTCTGAGAAATTGGAGAAGTCGTCTCGGAGGAAAAAAGAAGATTAGCTGGTGTGGGGTTGTTGGTGCTTATCGATAAGGCCTTTGCTGACAAGATCGTCTCCTCATTTCCGCCTGCGATTCCGTCATCTCCTATGTCAAAGTAATGATCTTAATGACTGGGATGGGTCTGAGACTGCATATTGACTTTACCTGCATCTGTCCATTCACGCTCTTGTCGTCATCGGCATTCGATCGCTACACCCATGGCAATACTCCCATTAGGCGTATCATGTTAGCGAGTTGACTTCTGAAGACAAAGGAATCGCCTTATGTTTCATGCGCGGGAATTGATACAGCGACCCCCCCCAAGCTAACCATGGATCATATATTCAAAGTCTGCTTCGTCATACCGTGGAGTCACGTCCTGCAGTCTTAACATTTCCTCCAAATCATCTTCTGAGAGTATGCAAGACCAGGCGAAAAACATTCAGCTCAAAATGGTTGTTTCAGGCAAATCCAGCGCGTCCAGTCTGATGCGACCCCAAAACACAAGACCATATGGGCGAAACGCGGAGTAATGTACGCATTTAAGAGGTGATAGAGGGTGCGTACTGCACTCATATAGACACTGTGAGCCTTGGGTAGAATCACCACAAGTAATAGCCCTTTCTACCTTGTCCCATTGCTCATCCATTATTGATGTGTAATGACCGCAGCAGTGGCTGAATTCCTCCGGAATTGAACTGGATAGCAACCAGGAATATATCTCTCCATGCCCACCTGCCTGCCTGTCTGGCCATTGAAGAAGAGACTTTATCTGCTCCGCTAGGTTCATCTTGAGCATCTCGAATAGTATCTTCTAAAGCCCTACCATGTTATCATCTAGCAATGTTTATCCTGCCTGACCATCTGTTATTATAACAATATATTCTATATATATCTTCTGAAGTTTATAACATAGAATAACACAGAGGAAAGCATACAGCAAGCGTTGTTCCTTAAACCATGTTGGTAATCCGATATCAATGGGAATATATGGGATTCCCTGAGGGTGTTCACAATGGTTAAATGGACCATGCGTGTTAAAATATATAGCCTTCTTGGGTAAATACTCCACTGGTAACTTTAGGCACCTAGCAATCATTGAATGAAAATATGCATGTGTAATGCATTGTAAGCAGGCCATCAAGGCAAGGAGCCAACAAAGAATGGCTAACAATGTTGACCTGGATATTTTCTTCTCTAATGGAGGTAGCTCCTGGGGGAACCGCTCCTTAATGTGTCGCAGGATCTTTAGAATGTCTGATGACTCCTCCAGTGAGTCTGCATCTTTGTCGTTCTCCTGCTGAGGCTGTGAATCCGCTGCTTGGGTCTAGACAAGAATCAAGAGCCTGACTGCATCCTGAACATATGGCAGCAGGCCTCTTTCATAAGCTGGGTCTCCAATAATCTCGTCCACAATCACTGCAAATAGATAGTTATTTTTGTGCAGGAATGCTGCGACACCTGGAGATGCATCACGTAATCTTTGCAGCGTGAGCAAATCTGGGAGATCTAAAAGAATATTTCGCAGCGCGAACCAGGGAAGTCGGCTGAATGGGTCCATATCTTTTGCAGTCCTTTCCCAGGTGGTATGTAGTATGATTCTCAGATTCTCGACCAGACTGTCGCCGTCTAAGGAAGCGGACTTGGGGAGAGAAAATGTCGATTGATAATTGCAGCAACAGTTTAGAACGTAAGATGAGAAATGTTGGTTGAACTAAATTAGCTTTTCGTATGTGTCGGTCCCCTTACCTAATTGGAGAGCGTCTGGCAGTGTACATGAGAGCAGTTCGCGTTGCCAATCAGGCTGTACCACGCATGAACTGATTTCAATTCACGACACGCTAGCGAGCTCGAGGTGACTGGGGCTGGCTGAGGTGTCATATATACGAGACGACTGGGGAGACGACTACTCTTGCGGTTGCGGAGGTAGCTCACTCATTACTCGCTTTGATGGTTGCTATTCCTGTTCAACTGTAGCACATCAGAGATACCTGCCTGTGTCTACTGGATCACTGCCGGCATCGTCCGTCAACGGTAAGTGTTGGCTTCTGTGGATTCTTACACCTGTACAAGATATATACAATCTGCATCACGATTACTTCTTCTCTACCTCTGCCTCCGATCGAACCACCTCCTCCCGTCCATGCAACACGCTCATATCTCCCGGTCCAGTGAAGTGTTTCTGACCGGTAGTGAACCAGGTAACTAGACTAATTAGCGCAACCACGCCAATCGCGGCAGAAGTATAGTTCATTGAGTTCTTGTCAATGGGGTAAGAGCTCGGGAAATTGAAAGTAATGGATGCGAAGAGCAGGAAGAGAAGCCCCAGGACATTGAGAGTGATGGAGATCCACGGTGGCAGAGCAAAAGGTCCTTTCATTTCTTTCTGGTGGCCAGTGACGTAGCCGAGGAGACGGCTGAAGAGGGCCGTTGCGTATGATAAATCTATAGAGGGTCAGCAGGGGTTTGAGAATAGAAAGGGGTATAGCAGGACATACAAAAGCCCTCTGTCGAGATCGCAATGACGGTTTCGAATCCAGTCGTGGTGCCAAAATCAATAGCATCCAGAGCGAGTTGTACGGCCAGAGTCAGCAGCACGGCGTTGACGGGCACTTGGCGCTTGCTCTCAACTTTGGCAAAGACCTTGGAGAAGGGCAGGCCGTGGTCGCGGGCGAACGCGTAGACCGAGCGTGAGCCCTCAGCGAGCAGATTGTTGCCCGCCACGATGACAATTATGGCGATCATGCTAGACAGGAAGCATGCACCGACTTTACTGCCTGTAGAATCATAGAAGATCTGAATGACGGGTACGCCGGTGGAGGTGCTGGCTGTTTCGCTAATGTCGCCGATGCAGAAGCAGAGGGTGAGGAGGAAGGCGAAGCCGGTGATTCCACCAAGTACAACGGAGAGAACGATGGCTTTGGGGGCTTCTTTCGAGGCCGACTTCATCTCCTCGGTCATGTGTGCGGGTGCATCGTAGCAGCACATCCCGAAGCACGACTGGAGGATCCCGACGATAGCGCCCATCGCTGGGCCCCAGCCGGTGAAATTCTGGAACTCGGAGAAAACGAACGCTGGGGGCTGTTTGTGGTTGTTTGTGGCGAGGAGAACAATCATGGTGATGAGGAAGGAGCCCACGTTCCAGACCAGGATGAAGCGTGATATGCGGTTGAGTAGGTGAGGGCCCCATATATTGATGGCGGCCGCTATGAAAGCAATGAGGTACGCGACAAGGACAGTCTGCCATCTTTCAATCGTGTATTCGGGAAAGACGAGATTGGCCATTCCAAGGACAAAGTTGGCTCCAATGTAATTGTTCGTGGCACCCATTGCAAGAACCCCTGCTTCAAATAAGTATGCAGCAAAGTACCTAATGACCGAGAATCTATCACCATACCTATAAGCATGAACCATCCACTTATGTATGACAGCCCGCGTGCGATCTTTGGGGGAGCTAGAGCGGCCACCCACGAGTACTGTCCCCCTGCGACAGGGTACATGGAACACATCTCTGCCATGGGAATCGCAACTGCAAGTGTAAGAAGGCTGACGCCGATGAAACTGAATACCATGACCGGAGGGCCACCCGACGTGACTCCTACAATAAAGACGCCGCTCAAGGCAGTCCATCTGATAAGTCAGCATGCATTTCCACAATGAGACAGAGGAAGGAGGAATGCATACGATGTAACGATGCTGAAACTGAAACCGATCATACCCAAAAGGCCAAAGGTCCGCTTGAGCTCTGCTCTACGTTAGTATAGTCCATCCACTTGGGACTGTTCGCACCTTGTTCGTAGCCAAGATTCTCAAGACGAACATCCTCTCCGGCTGTCGGCTGAAAGACTTGCTTGTTATCCTCCTCAATGACCGCCATGGTGACAGTAGGCACAGAATACCTCTCTCCTGCAAGATTTCAGGAGTTGGATCGAGATGAAATGACCCTGCCGAAGGCAAGGGGCTTTTAAGCTTTAAGTCCCCCTCCCGAACGCCTCCGTGAGCCTACATCTTCCCTTGAGATGGGAGTCAGCCCTTTGGATTACAACAACAGACGGAGTCGCCATTAGGGTTGAAGATAGAGAGCCAAGGTTTGATAAGGATAAGATAGATAGTCGACCAAGATTTCCCAATCGAGAAGGTCTCCGCGATGACAGGTGGGTCGAATTGAAGATTGGAGTCGAATGATCGTGGGGGAATCGAGGGAAGCCGAATCAGCTAAGAGAGGTGTGAGATAGTCTAATAATGGGTCCGGCATAGGTGAGAAAGTGCGGAGATATCGTGGAGTGTCATTGCATTTGTCAAGAAGAGCCTGTGGTTTTCGCTCTGATAACGCCGTTACTTTACTCCACCGTCACCACATCCAACTATAGCAGGTGACGAACCGGGGGAAATATCGAAAAAGCCACTCCTTCTCTAGGATCCGTTCTTATAATTGGACAGGCGATCCGGTCCTCATCGGAGCCATCATCACACTGCAAAAGTATTATTTTCTCGGGGATGGGGATCAATCAGGATTCAGGAATACTAACACAATCCATCAGGTAGGCAACAGCAAGGAATGTCGAGGTAAGTAGACGGTGATAGTACTGTGGAGACGTTGCTGGATATGCTGAATCTTCTGGAATCAGAATTCAGGCTGAGACTCAGCATGCCAGCTTTCCTTCGCTCCTATCGTCATCGCCTCCTAAGCAGATTCATTCAACACTGACAATATGAACACCATTTTAGGCGTTTCCAGACAACCTTCCTCCCGAGCAGCCAAGTCTGTACAGTTCCAGCAATGATGATTTGAAATAGCATGACACGGTGCTGAAGACTTATACAGATACTCATTGCCGCCAGTCTTGCCTGCCAGTTGCCTGCGTTTTGGATACGGCTGGCTCAGTATGGGGATCCAAAATCTCGTCCCAAGCCTTGATTGTGACACAGTCATATGCAGGCCTTGTGTCTACCCTATTTGGCTTGCATAATTGCATTCACGGACTTGCTGGATTCTCACCAGAGCCAGTTTCCAGGAGCTCCAATATATCGATATCAGCAACCTAATTTGGCTGAGTCCGAGACGGATATCACTGCCTCTGGCAAGGGATATCTTTCTGATCTAGGAGACATGCTGACGAACGTCGACCGCGAGTCGAAAATAAGTAAAGTTGACGTGGAAAAAGGTGCTCTTGAAGGCATCCGCAAGCTTGCCGTCCAACACCATTATAATAAACGAGCTTCCAATGCTCAGGATTGGGGTTAGGCACTTCCGAGCTTGCTGGCGGAATCATAAATGTGTACCGAGCCCGCCAACGTTTCTGATGACTCTCCAAATAGCCCAAGATGGGTGTTCAATGACTGGGTCGCACAGCAGAGGCGCGGCAATGTAGAGAGAATTTCATGAAGGAATTGCAAAGACACCTTGGACGTCCTCTTGGTCGATATCAGACGAACCGGACTGTAGCATTCAGAGAGCAGCAAATGCTTGCCTGAGTGATACGTGTGACCCCAGATTCGCGGTATTCGGCCGGTGGCTGAACTTTGAGTAGGGAGAAGTCAAAGTTTAAGATTTCCAAGAGCTACTGTAGTTTCTTGCGTTACGCCTGGCAATGGCGCCTGAAGTCTCCCGAGTGAGCTCATATTGCGGTTGCAGCACGAGTGCTCAATAAAAGTCAATACATGGCCTGCATCTCGGTGCTTTGTTCCATGCTCATCCTATGTAAAACTCGTTCTTGAGTGCTCCCATGTGATCCAAGCTTCAGCGCAGGTTGAGGGACCCACAAGGCTGTGATGGCTTATGATGGGATTAGTCTGACTAGGCAATAAGACAAAGATGTACACTAAACGCCTTTCAGTTATCACATTGCTGGATTACCTTCGTGTTAAGTATAGCGATGCAATCTAGTTCATTATCCCCTACGCAGGGATCAACCTGAGGCCGTTACACAATTAGCAAGTGTACTATGCGTCCTGAGACTTCTTCTCTAGCTCTAGCTCCCATAGCTCCCCTATCAACGTCGTCCCAAACCCTTCATGCTCCTCCTCCTTCACCAACTGAAACCCTTCGGCCTTGTATAGCCTCCTCGCTGAACCCAAGATACTCTGGGTCCAGAGCACCACCCGCTTGTATCCAACCTCCCTCGCGAATTCGATGCACTGCTTGATCATGGTCCTTCCGACTCCCATTCCCCGAGCGCTCGGCTCCACAAGTAGTAAGCGCAGTCTGGCTATATCGGGCGAGTCGGCGTCCTTGACAAGCATTATACAGCCCACTGGCTCATTGGTGGTCTTGTCAGTGCGCTCCGCGATCCAACAACGCTCCGAGGTAGGATCATGGTTTTGCTGAAAGTCTGACGCGATCTTGGAGACTAGGGCGATGAAATTGTCGTTGAAGTTGTATTCGTCTGCGTAGAGGGTGCCGTGACGGGAGATGATCCAGTCTATGTCTGCAGGTTTGTGTGTACGAACTGTGATAGATTTTGTTGGAAAAGTTGCGGTTTGAGCCATTTGGAAGAAGATGACGCTGGCTAATTTGTGCTAGCTGTTGATGTAGATAGAATAGTCCAGGAATAAGTAGCTCAAGGGATCTGGACGAGGGACGACATGAACGGCCCAGATGAATGGATTCTAAGCACTGGAAGGGAAAATGTCTTCTTGAGGACAATAATCTTTTTCATTTCTTCTGGCTTAAGCTCTATATTTTGACCGTTGTTAATAAATGTGTGGATGATATTTGGTGGGGTATGGATGCCATCCACAGGGCGTGTGCATGCGCCCTTAGTTGACGAAAGTGTATCTACTTCAACTGACCCAAAACATGCCCTTACATCGTCGGGATTTTGTCGGGGTACGTCTTCATCTTTCCATTTGAATCCATGTCGTTAATAGGTGCGACATACCGGCTACCTCCTCCGCGCCAATATCAACGCACTCCCCCATTCAACGTCCACCTCCACATCCTTCCAATCATCTCGCTGGAAAGACGGTTCAGTTTCTCGAATCTTGTCCATCATCTCATCAATAACATCACCACGTTGATCGGTATTCCCAGGAGCCCTCCTCGTCCTATCAGGCCATTTCCTCTGCCATGCGTGAAACGAGCTCCATGTTCTGACGTATTCCTCCATGGACCCCAAAGTCATCCTCGCATGCATGAACCGTGTCCCTCCCTCTGCTCCAGGCTCGTACTCATCACGAGAGACATCTTCCCAGTCCTCGACCGGCGGCTGAACAGCTCGCAGTTTCTGTTGCACTATACTCCGACCAGGCTGTTGCCAGTAGCTTCCCAGCAGCCAAGGATCTTGCCCATACGCATACTCATTAATGATATTGGTTGCTCTGGGGTAGGACACGAGCACATGGTCCTTGTAGCCCCAGAAAGCCAGCGTGCCTCCGGATCGAACAATTCTTCGCATCTCCGGCCACAGCTTGGCATAGTCGAACCAGTGCGCGCTCTGCGCAGCGGTTACTAGGTCTACTTGCGCATCTGCAGCAAAAGGACACTCTTCGGCTCTTCCTTGGTGGAAAGTTATGTTGGGAAAAGCAGTGGACAACTGACGTGCCTCTTGGATCATTCCTGCCGATGGATCACTGGCGAGAACCCGCTGGAAATGTGGACTGAGCTCGCGGGCGACTAAACCATGGCCTGTCCCCAAGTCAAGGGCTGTCCTTGATGGACCTCTATGATATGCAAGCACGGCGGAGTAGAGCTGTGTTGAGTATGCTGGCCGGAAAGCCGCATATAATTGGTGAGAAAAGGTATTACTCCTGTTGGTTGTCAGGACCTAGAGTCTTCAAATACCATGAACTCGGAAGACGTACGCAAACGAGGCCATCCTGATAGATGACTTGCTGCTAGTGATGATTATTTCTTGCACTAGAACCCGGCATTCTCGAGTGGCGAGTTTGACAATTATGCCCAAGCGACTCTATGATGATATTCCATGATGCCCGGCTTGTATTAGATCTCATTATCCTGACAACGGCAATGTAGTTCAGGCCGATAAGCGGCAGTTGCAAATCGCTCCGTTTCCGATATTCGGTCCTTCGCCGAGTCGTTTCAAACAACTCAGAACATGGTGCAAACCTAAGTCACGAGTTATATAGTACCGTTGGCTAAATGGCTGGAATATGGCACTAAGGCTTCAACTCCTTCGTCATGTGACTGCCGACCGAATACGCAATACGATGTTCGCTTCGAAGAACGGATACGGAGTTACGGACTATCCCCACCTTGAACCGCTGTATACTCTAGGGGTGACGTGCCATTCTCAGTAGCCATTCGAGGCTCTCCACTTGAAAAGGAAGTGGCGTACCATTAGCAAGCCGTGTTGCGTATTAACACGGTTGCTCAGAATTCCCCGATTGATGAGGGCTTCCACGAACTTGAGTATATATTAAAGAGCCGACAGCCAGGGCATGATGGATGTTTGGCTAGATCTTCCATCCTTTTCCGTGTTTGACAGGACTCAATATGCTCGTTCCATCATCTGAAGTCTCACTTGCTGGCAAGACCTGTCTGGTCACCGGTGGAGCTGGCGGGTTGGGCAAGGCCATTGCGTCTACTTTCCTCGCGGCTGGCGCAAACGTGGTGATCTGCGATGTCAACGAGGACCGACTACGGCAGACTTCAGCAGAACTGGGGGAAACCGGCCGATTGAAAGCTATCAAAGCGGACATAACCTCTGCAAGCGCCGTTCAAACGCTCATTGACGAGATCGTCGCGGACTTTGGGAAGCTCGATATCTTGGTCAACAATGCTGGAATCATGGACAGGTTTGATCCCGTGGGAGATCTCGACGAGGCACTGTGGGATAAGGTGATGGCCGTTAACCTCACAGCCCCATTTCTACTCAGCAAACTAGCTGTGCAGAATATGTTGGCGCAGCCTACCACTGATGGATGTATTATCAACATCGTCTCTGTAGCTGGTAAGGCCGGCTGGGCAGCGGGTATGTTCTCCGACGAACCAAGGTATTCCTATTGCTGACTCCAGTAGGCGCAGCATACACAGCGAGCAAGCATGGTCTTGTCGGGTTGACCAAGAATACAGCCGCCTTCTACGGTAACAAGGGCATCCGGTGCAATGGGCTGATGCTGGGCGGCATGAAGACTAACATCGCCGACGCCTTCCAGGCCGGCATCAACATGGAGGGCAAAGACAAGGCCTTCGAGATCCTGGGCGCCATCAAACCGCCCATGTGCGAGATCGACGATGTAGCCGACATGTGCCTGTTCCTGGCCTGCGGCAAGGGCTCGAAACTGATCAACGGCGCCATTATCCCGGCGGATAATGGCTGGACGGGCGTTCTTGGATGATTCAACTTCATGTACATTCGATTATCTACTCCCGTAGTTCTAATACACCTGACCTTGCACCTCAGCAATGCATATATTCCAATCCCCCCGCCTCATTCTGAATACACTCTCCGAGATTCACACTCGCAGACTGCACACTCCCATGCCGGTCATTCAGCTGCGCATGCAGCATCGGTTTCCCCTCCCCACCTTCCAACGCAAGATGCACCTGCGACGCGCTGTCCGCGAACGAGTCCCCGCCCCAGACAAACTTCCCTAGAGCACATCTTAGCATCCGTTATTCGCTACACAATGCACCGCACCAAAAAGGAACACACTGATACTGTCGTAACTTACCGTTATTATTCCCCAGACAATTATTCAGATCGATCTCCGAGAAGGACCAGGTGCCGTCGGGCCGTTTGCAGCGACTGCTGAGAATATGCTTGTCTTTGAGGACTATGGTGTCGGAGCTTGTGTGGAAGCCGCGGAGGGACATTCTGATGCTTCTAGGATCTCTTTTTCAGATGCTCTCTGTGGACATTTTGGCTGGTGAGGCACCGAGTCGAGGTTTTATGGGGTTGACGCCCACGGGGTTGGCCACATTCGTCATCTTGGGCGAATGTTGATATCAGGGTGGTGTGGGGAGTTCCCTGGGATGGAAGGGTTCATTCCGTGGTTGTATTTAGTAACCCCTGCAGGAGAGCGTCTACATTGTATCGAAGTATTTCTACAAGAAGTAGTCAGTTTGATGGACGTTGTAGATGGATATGGATTGTTGTTAGTGAATGGTCCGGAGCAACTGCACAGTATACGCGGGATTACTTCGGCGCTATCTACCAAAACTCTATGATTATACAGCAAGCTACCTTGATCCTTGACAGCTTCAGACGATCCTAGTATTAAGTGATCGAGTGAGCTAGGAACCGGGACTTGCGCATCCTGCATCCTGCATTCTGCCATCTGGCTAAATGGCTGCTATCTACCCCGCTCACTCCGCACGACCATACCCGCAATTGCAGTAGTGTGTTGTACCGTTAGCTTCATTGGTGGATTGAACGCAAGGGGATACCTGGATTCCCTGTTTCTTGCACGAGTGAAACTGAGCAGGATGGACGGTAATCTGGCCATTACGGAAATAGGATATTAACAAGGGGCTAAGTCCGGCCTTCCGGGAGAGCCGATGGTATATTATCTATCTGTACAGGTCCGGCGAGAAGTCACAAGCCCAGAGTTACTAATATAGTATCAAAATGAAATACGTCCAACTCGGATCAAGCGGGCTCCGGGTCTCGCCCATCTGCGTGGGCTGCATGAGCTACGGCAGCCCCGAGAAACGCTTCGACTGGGCACTAGGCGAAGACGACGCGCTTCCCGTGCTCGACCACGCCTACCGCTCGGGGCTCAACTTCTTCGATACGGCAAATGTCTACTCGAACGGCGACTCGGAGGTGATTCTCGGCAAGGCGATCAAGAAATACAACTGGCGGCGCGAGAACATCGTCGTCGCGACCAAGGTGTGGGCGCCTGTCGGTCGCGGCAAGGAGTATCCCCTCTTCATGTCCAATGAGGAGCGCGACAATGCCGGCTACGTGAATGAGTACGGGCTCAGCCGGAAGCATATCTTCGACAGTATCGAGGCGAGTCTGAAGAGGCTGGATCTGCCGTATGTTGATCTGCTGCAGATCCACCGGTTTGATCCCAACACGCCCGTGAAGGAGACGATGGAGGCGCTGCATGATGTTGTCAAGTCGGGCAAGGTGCGCTATATCGGGGCTTCGTCGATGTGGGCGCACCAGCTGCTGGAGTATCAGTATACGGCGCGTATGAACGGGTGGACCGAGTTCATCTCCATGCAGAATTTCCATAACCCTATCTACCGGGAAGAGGAGCGGGAGATGTTTCCTGCTTGTGCCAAATTCGGGATGGGTGCGATTCCGTGGAGTCCGCTTGCGATGGGCTTCTTGACCCGGCCGTGGAAGGCATTTGAGGAAACCACACGAGGGAAATCGCTGAATGGCAAACTAATGGGCCAGCCGTTTACCGAGACTGACAAAAAGATCAGCGAGAAGATAGAGGAGATTGCCAGCAAACGCGGCGTGTCGATGACCATAGTGAGTCTTGCGTGGTCATTGTCGAAGCCGTTCATCACTGCGCCGATTGTGGGACTGAGCAAGAAGGAGAGAGTGGACGAGGCCATCCAGGCGATCGAATTCAAGCTCACAGAGGAAGAGATCAAGAGTATTGACGATCTGTATCAACCAAAAATGGTTGTAGGGCACCACTAGTTTCTAGCTACTGCAGGCTATTTGTCAAACCGGATCCCTTGCTATCCTAGAAGACCAATTGTGTCCCATCTTCCTATAACAAAAATGCCATATGATCATAAAGCTCATTCCTGATCACTTAGAATATCGCAATCATCCTAGAAAGCCTGTAAATAATACGGCTGGCTCGAGGATCAGGATTCGCTGCAAATGTCAGCACCTGCAGTAGGCACCCGTTGACCTGCAGCATGCAGTAGAAATTCCACAATCCTGGAGCCTAACCGATTCCAGAGCCAGATGGCTCTCTAGAGTCCAGAACGCCCAGATAACCACTTGTAAGGTTCCTGCTGCAAGGCAGCATACTTACTGATATTGCTCAGCCGGCCACAGCAGTCACCACGCCCACTAGGTCATGCGAGAACCCGTCCAGGGATCAAATCAGGATGACTGGTCGGTATGATGTGCCGGTTTCTGCAGAATCCGGATCGAGATCGTGCTAAAATAGAAAGAGGGAGCTATGTGCGGCACGAGACTTGTGTGGATGAGAAACGGCGTGCAAATGTCTTGCGTTGCCCTCCCTGCTTTGCGCGGCTTAGCTTTGCTCGAACGGCTGCGAGGCTGTGATTGAGTTGTTGAAATCTGGGAAGAGAGCAGCGGATTGGCACGTTCAGTTGACTGTAGGCTGGAGCTAACTTACGCTGGGGATTTTCCCAGCCATGTAGGTTGAGGGGTGGAGTCTATTACCAATCACACCCATTGTCCAGCAAGACATCAGGAGCACTTCAACTCAGACAGCGTAGTCGATCGGTCTTGGGTGCACCCCAAATCACCATCTCACTGCAGGTACGGAGATAGACGGATATTTGTTAAGTTGCCTTCGCACTTATTCCTTCTGTCGGATATCACTTCCCATGACATAAGGTGGCAAGGAACCATCTTGGTCATCGCTCGTCTTTCAGATACTTGGAACAGACATCCGCTCATGACTATTGGACCTTGTTTGAGATATGATGCGCTAGATGGTGAATTAACCAGAAAAATCCGAGCGTTCAGACTTCGAGGACGCTCAGGTGGGGGTGGATCATGCTAGGGAGGTGGGCGAGTCGGCTGATCGCCCTGCTTGGTGGATGATTTAGATACCCTGTGGATGGTGGTGATCAGAACCATAATGGCCTCGATGGGAAGAAAGAGCGTCTTCAGAAAAGCAAATATTAATACTCCTCTTCCCTGACTCGACTCAGGCAGCTAGTGTGGTCGATAAAAGTGATCTGATTGGGTCCTCCTCGCTTGTATGAACAGATGCCTTTTGTCTGCAATGAATCAAGTACGGGAGTGTTCAAGGACTGACTCCAGCATCAGGATGGAAACCTCGTACCGACACTGGCAGCAGCACTCAACCCTGTCTATACTGATTGTTCTATTCATTCAGCATTAATCAGTGCTCCTTGCCCACCCACCTTCAAAAAGTAGGTCTCAACTAGTATCCGTACTTACACCCTCTTACTGCCAGTCTGCCAGTCATCTTCGCTGTTGACCCCGGCAGATCGACCATGTCCCACTATCGGTTCTAGGCTCCTTTGATGGTGGGAAACGGTCTCAATTCATGTCCAAATCCAGTAAAATCCAGAGTCATCCAGCTATTCAGCATAACTCTCAAGTGAGTCCTCATACTCACTCATATTGTGATGCTGATTGTGATGACTGCCTCTGCCTTGTTTTTTCCACACCTTTTTTAGCTCAGTGAGTAGGGTTCGGGGTCACCCGCTGCTTGCGCGTGTGGTTACAATGCTCCTTTTATCTGCGAAACCTGGTGAATGGTGTAGACAAATCCCGATGCTCCTAAAGGCAACCGATTAGCTCTTAAGGACAGAGCTCACCCCGTCTCGTTGGCTTAGAGTGTTGTTGAATCTCTTTGGGTCTCGGACAAGATTGTCAGACCTTGCCACTGCTGAGACCTTTCTCTCTTTCGTCCTGTCCTTACAAAGACAGTGTAGTGCACTGTCTTGCTGATGCCTAGTCCAAGCCATCTTGTCGATGCGTCTGACACGCCAAGTTGACTAAGCTCCTCATTCGTCGTCCTGCATCTGACCACGTACGACCTGACATATGCGTCGTCTGTGTTATGCTATGCTACCTACCTACGTTGCCTCTACCTTTCCTCTTCTTCCTAAAAAGCCACTGACAACCGATCTTCAACACCTTGCACATCACTTTGATTGCAAAACCGCTCGTCTTCCTGGCAGGTCTTAAACCAACATTTTTGCAAGCCACATACCTCCCAGACTGCGTCATCGCATGGTTTTTAATCTGGCCGTCTTCCTATTTTCGGTTCGTACGGCAAGCGACCTGAAAATAGCGCCCGTCGGATGCTCGCCAAATCAGGAACCAATCAGCTTTTGGGGTAAGGGGGGAAATTCGACCCGCTACGGTCACCATTGCCAGGATCATTTGACTTAGGTCTGCAATGATGTCGCAGGTGAGTGAAAAATGTCTTCTGCATGCATCCTCTGGCTTGAAACACCCTTTTCTGCCTCCTGGACTCTCCATCTGCCTTGGGAGAAGGCATGCATGTCCTTGTTCTTTTGCTTTACCCCTTGCGTGGTGGACGCTGGCTTGGGCAAAGAATGGGGCAAATCCGCCAATAACCGGGGTTCAAGGGTAGTACCATGGGCGGTAACCGTACCGTACCGTAACATACTTGCCCCGCCCGTCCACCCAATTCTTTGCTAGTTTGCGTTTTTGTACCCGCAGCTCCGCCAATGACGCCATGTCACGACTTGTTTTGTTGTCGGGAATTTTTGATGACACTCTTTTGCTCTGTGATTTTCCTTCGATCGCTTCCCCGCAAGATGATGATGGAATAACTGCACTGTTTCCCTTGTATGGAGCAGCGAGCACTTTCGTCTCTCCCTACTGGGTCAAGAAAACTTGTCTTCTTCAGAATTGCGTCGGCTGTTGCTGCGTCTGAAAAGAAACGGGGCACCCCAGAGGAGATCATTCGATACCCGTTCCTGTGCCTGGTTCCAAATTTCTTCCTTGTTGTCATCTCCCGTCGCTCTCCACTCTTACCAAGTTGGGCAAGCACGCTGATGTGGGCTCATCTTTCCCGCGGCCAGGGACAGAACTATCCTCGCCTAAGAAGGAAAAGGATAAAAGCCTCAATGGCAGCCTCTCCACCATCCTCTTTCTCGGCCTCCTCGTCCTCATCCTCTTCTCTCTATCCGTCCTCCTGGAGCTCAATCCACTCTCCCCCATTGCTCAGCAGTAAGTAATTGTCCGTTTGTTTCTATCCTCTGCGTCTATCGTCGAGCGCGTGGCCGCGGCCACTCCATCCAACCATACAGATGCATCTTTACCCCTCTTCTCCACCTCTGTCTCCCCTTCTAGCGGACTATCCGTTGCTCTCATTGGCATTATTAGATGCGGACCGTCCGCGTTTCATCTTATCCCTTTTCAATGATTTGTTTACTTCCCCCTTTGTGTTGGCACCGTCGACACAATCTCCACCCTACACGTGTGGCATGTCCGGTTCATTTCTCTGGTCATTCTCGCTGATCGCGTGCTCTTAGCCAATCTCTCCCCGTCCTCCTGGTCGCCCTCGCATCGTCCTTCACCAGCTTCAGCCCGAGATCAACTGGAAAGCCTGATCGCCAAGCACGGTCACCCCACTCGAGTCTCACTATCGTCCTTGCGTGACCTGACAGCGACCTCGTCCACATATAATCCACCATCGCCGCTGTCTCCTCGCTCGCCCGCTTCGGAAATTTCAGAATTGTCTGATACTCTTGTCCTCAGCCGTTCTACCTCGCGTCCAATTCCCATACCAAAACCGCCGAGTAGTCCCTACGATTCAGATCTGCCCGTCACCCCGTTGACCGGGCGTTTTGAAAAGGACTATTTCCCGCAGTCTGATCAGTCCAAGTCTTGGAGGAACCGCGAGAGTGTGTCCCGGCTGGACAGTGACCGCTATCGCCGCCCTTCATACCACAAGCCATCCTCCAGAATGCGTTCTGATAGCTCCTCGTACTATTCGCCGGTCATGTCGCCCAGCATGTCACCCTCAACCCGCTCCGCATCTCCACAGCCAACACGCTCCCGCCCTCACAACTCGGCGAAGTCTGTGCCAGCCTTCCATCTCGGCAGTCTGCCTCGGTTCCATCCCGCTGTCTACCAGCCTTCGAACAACACCCAGAGTTTGGCCGCACAGCCTCCGTCACCCCGGCATTCCCGTCAGCAGTCGTACTGGACGTCAAGCTCTCGTGACACGCTGAGACAATACAGAGAATTGGTGGAAAGCGTCACTCTCTCCAAGGCACCCTCTCGACCGCTCTCGCCGAGTCCCTCTGCCCCAAGGCTAGACCCTTTACGCAGCCCGGGACCTGTGACTCCATTGGCTCTGGAGGAGACCGGTGGCTACTTGACCATCGGTGCAACGAGCTCAGATTTTTCGTCAGGCGACTCTCAAAGCTCCAGCGCTGCGCCAGATTTGGTCGAGAAGCTCATTGCTCGCGAAGCCGAGCGGGCTCGCCAGAAGTCGCGAAAGAGCTCCAAGAATTGGTGATCAGGGCCATCTTCCACGTCCTGGCCGGTTATCCAGGATGGAAGCTTGCATCTTTTTCATTCTTTTCCAACTTTCCCATTAACTCATATCTGTCAGATGGGCTCTCGCATGAGAGCTCAATTCAGCTTGCATTATTTTTGTGTTCATTTTATACCCCATACAGCCTTGATTAATGCTTTGCACATGTCACCTGTGGCACCCAGACCCGCTCTTCTCCTATATCCTGTCTCCTATAACATTCAGCCATGGCTAGAACAGACTGTCCTGCTTGACTCAAGAGCGACGCTGAAATTGGATTCAAAAGGGACAATACTTAGAATTTCTCATGTTACCTTCTGTCTTCGTACCTTGGCTTCGACTGATTGCGGGGAAATTTGCTTCGGTTGTGTATTTACATATTGCGTCCTGAAAGGACGAGTTATCGCTAGATCAGTCAATTGTTAGAGATTCTCAGACTGCCACTTGACTTAAATTGTGTCTCAAAGACTCCACTGTCCGTCGACCAAGAGTCCACTGTTCAAATCTAGATAGTTAGTTGATACTCTATAGTTGACGCGAGATTGGCCAACCAAGACCACTAAGTCTTAGGCTGCTCTCCGGAGCTGGGCGATCTCTCCCCGAAATCCGCACCACAGATTTTGCGGGGCGCAAAGCTTCCCCATCGAAGTTTATAACCTGATCTTCTATCCTACATGGTCGATTCGATTGTCTCTTCCGTTCCTGCGATGGGCAATCGAAGCCTATTTCATTCTTTGCTCACAACAAAACCGACCGAACCCTCGATTCCGTCGTTCATCCCTTGAGCAGAGCGCCGTGCTCAATGGGACAGCCCATACGCCCAATCTCCGATATCGCCGCGGGTTTTTAATATTGTACCTCGCAATTAATTAGTCGCAGCACTACTCATTGCACATTGCCAACGCGGACTGTAGGCCTTGAGTACTCTCCAGGAATCTGAAATCCGCATAGATGCCGTCAGTTGAAGCGTTGCTTTCGCCAGTAGACGCTAAGGTCCCCGGCGATATGGCCGTCGGAAGCCAGAGTACACCCGGTGTGGTCGCCGGTCCGTCGGTTTCGATCGAGAAGAAGAGCGACTATAAGGGGTTTGTGGCTGGAGTGTTTTCGGGGATTGCAAAGTTGAGTGGTATGTTCTTCCTAGTTTCCCCTTGGGTAGGAGGACTGTTGGTGACGTTCGGGACTGAGCTGATATCCGTTCTGTGGTGTAGTTGGGCATCCGTATGTGACGTGATCACTCTCATTATGTTGTTCTACGACTGATGGACATGTGCTAGTTTCGATACGGTAAAGGTGCGATTACAAACGAGCAAAGAAGGCCATTTCAAGGGGCCGTTGGACTGTGTACTACAGACATTACGGAAGGAGGGTGTGAGTGGACTGTACAAGGGAGCCACGCCGCCGCTGGTCGGTTGGATGGTTATGGACTCTGTGTGAGTACTTTCGTCGGTAATCGATACGATTGGGTTGGGTCTGATTCACGGATAGCATGCTCGGTTCCCTGACGCTGTACCGACGACTACTGCTTGAGAATGTCTTTTCGAAACCCGCTATTCGGTCTCTCACGCCGTTTGCGAGCTATCAACGTGATCCCAAAACGCTTCCTAGCTTCGGACATGGGATAGCCGGTATCCTTGCCGGTACGACTGTCAGTTTCATAGCGGCTCCAGTAGAGCACATCAAGGCGCGGCTGCAGATTCAGTATGCTGCGGATAAGTCGAAGCGAATGTACAGCGGGCCGATCGATTGCTTACAGAAGCTGGTAAGTCATCGAGGGAGTCTCGGTAGTGTTGCAAGTGAGCGTCGGCTGACTGCAGCATAGTTGCGCACTCACGGTATCGCAGGGTTATACCGCGGCCTCTGCGCGACAATCCTCTTCCGATCGTTTTTCTTCTTCTGGTGGGGTTCCTACGACGTCCTGACGCGATGGATGAAGAACAACACCGCGATGTCGGCGCCAGTAATCAATTTCTGGGCCGGGGGTATATCGGCCCAGATCTTCTGGTTGACCTCGTACCCGTCCGATGTGGTCAAGCAGCGACTGATGACAGACCCGATGGGCGGAGCGCTAGGTGACGGGGAAAGAAAGTTCCGCCGGTGGAAAGATGCCGCCAGGGCGGTTTATCATGAGCGAGGGTGGAGAGGATACTGGAGGGGCTTTGTGCCGTGTTTCTTACGAGCATTCCCGGCGAATGCGATGGCCCTGGTTGCGTTTGAGGGCGTGATGCGGTCGCTGCCATGAGCCCGATGTAATCAGGTAATCAGGCCGACGAACAATGATAGCCTAGACGACCATTTGTATATAGCATAATGAGATACCAAAAGCCAATTGGTAATGAACTTAGTGCGTCGTTTATAGCCAGATGATCAGTGCTGGAGGTGCAACGGCGGAGGTGAGCTTGAGTGCAACATTTCCGCATTCAGCATACCTCGCGCAGGAACTGAGATCTGGGCTTTGGTCCACATTTCAACGTCGGAGACAAATATTTTTGACGTTCATTGGCTAGTTGTGGGTTGAGAGATCGATTAGTTCCAGGGAGATTACGCTGCGATTTTGAGAGTCGGTCCGCGTGTTCTTTTCCGGCCACCACGCAGTGAGGTCAGGGCGGGCAAACACAAGGCCAGACCAGACCATCGATTCATCTTCTCATCATCGCCGGCTCCCTCCCTCGTTGACTCTCCCAGCACGATTAATTCGAAATTTGACCTATTCACCGTCAATCGCGCTATGTCGGGGCGCAGGTCGAGGATTGACTTCATTGCTGGCTAAGTATTATCTCCCTGTGCCCACATCTCGGCCGGCCCAGATCTTTCGACCTGTCCTCATCAAACATCTCCGACTTCCAAGAGCCAGCTCGCATCCTCACCAACTCAACCCTACCGATTCCTGCTTCCCCTCGCTCGTTACCACCGGTCGATACGGCCATTTTATGGCCGTCGTCCGCACAATGCGACGCACGAATCCAATCACTCTCCTCCTTGCGGCCATACTTGCGTTCGGGTTCGTCACCTTCGTGCTATCCCCTTCGACATCCTCTGCCTCCCCCGTTAGCGCAGGCTCCGCTTCCTCCTCCCAGCAACGCCGCGAAGACGACGCCGCCGAAAACCCTCTCTCACCTCCGACGAAACCTTTCTTCAAATCCCAGCCCGTCCGCCAAGATGGCCAACAAGCCCCTCCCCCGGTCGTGCAGTATGACCTCAACAAGCTCAGCAGCACCAGCCAGTCCGCTGCTAAGAGCGAACGAGTCCTGATCCTTACACCGCTGGCCCGCTTCGTCCCGGAGTACTGGGACAATGTGGTGAAACTGACCTACCCGCACGAGCTCATCTCGATCGGGTTCATCATCCCCAAGAACAAAGAGGGCAATGCGGCCCTGGCCGCACTAGAAGACGCCATCGCCAAGACGCAGTCCGGCCCCATCGACCAGCGTTTCGCGAGCATCTCCATCCTCCGCCAGGACTTCGAGCCGCCCCTGCAGTCGCAGGACGAGAAGGAGCGGCACAAGATGGAGAACCAGAAGGCGCGCCGCGAGTCGATGAGCCGCGCCCGCAACAGTCTGCTGTTTACGACGCTCGGCCCCGCGACAGCTTGGGTTCTTTGGCTCGATGCGGATATTGTCGAGACACCGCCGACCTTGATTCAGGACCTCACGGCGCACGATTACCCCGTCCTCGTCCCGAACTGCTACCAGCGGTATTACAACTCCGAGAAGAAAAAGATGGATGTGCGGCCGTACGACTACAACTCGTGGATCGATAGTAGTACGGCGCAGAGTATGGCGGCAGAGATGGGGCCCGACGAGATCCTCCTCGAGGGCTACGCCGAGATGCCGACCTACCGGACGCTGATGGCTTATCTGGCTGATACAACTAATCCGAACCCTAAGAAGGTCATCGAGCTGGACGGGGTGGGCGGTACAGCGCTCATGGTCAAGGCGGATGTGCATCGTGACGGCGCGATGTTCCCTGCCTTTCCCTTCTACCACCTGGTCGAAACGGAGGGCTTCGCCAAGATGGCGAAGCGGCTGGGGTACACCGTGCATGGGCTGCCGGATTATTTTGTAAGTGGCATTTTTCCCCCTTTGGGATGACTCGTGGATGCTAATGCACTTTGCAGGTATACCACCAAAACGAGTGATGTGGTTTTTGGGAAACGATGTTATACTAGACATTTCTTGCACGACGCAATATGCGTTACATTGAGCGCGCTGTGCGCAACTTTCGTCACTATTTAGAATACAATCTTTCAGATCTCATGTGGTGGATGGAGTTTTGGCGCCAGTATTGTGGCATGCGGAGTCCGCATAACCTTTATATTGGTTATATAGACGCACGGAGCTAGATGATTTTCAAGCAATTTTATTTTCTGGTCGGATATTTATCGACTGCATCTGCGTTCTTTCAAGTACTTTTCATCTATCACTATGCCCCATAAAGTATATCCGTCTAATATGCTGCCACCATCAAATCGTACAAGCAACATCACCTCAGTGCCAGGAGATACTGCATAGCGGAAGCGTTAGTCAATGTTCACAACAAGCCGGAATCCAGTACTCACGCAAGCATAATTCCCGCCCCAACGGCAACAGCCAAGAACTGCACAATCGTCTTCTTAATCTCGACTGTCTTATCTTTGCTTGTCTCGAGCAATTCCGGGATGACCGACACAGTCCCGACGTAGAGGAAAGTCCCTGCGGTAAAAGGCAAGAGCATATCGCCCCACGTGAGGCTCGTGCCCAGCAGCCCTGCCGCTGCGTCCGTCACTCCACCAGCCGCCGCGCCGTGTCCGCCTCCGAACTCCTGGATCGCGATCCCGATGAACGTACCAAGGAAGGCACCGATGGCGGTGACGAACTGCGCGCCCATGGCCTTGCGCTTAGAGAAGCCGGACTGGATGAGGAGGGCGAAATCGCCGACTTCGTGGGGGATTTCGTGGAAGAAGACGGCGACGGTTGTGGTTGCGCCGATGGTGGGGGAGGCGTAGAAGGAGGAGGACATTGCCAGGCCGTCGGTGATGTTGTGGGTGAAGTCGGCGATGAGGTTGAGGTACCCTCCTAGTTTGACGCTGGGGTTGATTTCTTTCTCGTCTTCTGGTTCTTGCTTGGCGGCGGGGGCGGAGGAGTCGGGTTTACGCTTGCGGAGCTCGGCGTTGGCGGTGCTAGTGGTTGAGCTGGTGGTTGTGCCGTGGGAGGCGCTGTCGGTGTGCGCGTGCGGGTGAGTGTGCGAGTGAGCGTGTCCTTCGCCTCCTGTTGCGATGCGGAGAGCCTTGTCCATGGCCACGAACGTGAAGAAGCCGACCATGATCCCGAGTCCGAGGAGGAGATTCCTGTTGGGTTCGACCATGACGAAGCGCACGTGCTCCGGGGAGTCCTCGCCTAGGAAGATCTCAGGGAGAAGATGAAACAAAGTGTCACCTAAAAGTCCTCCGACGGCGAAAGCGACCATGACGGACAGAGATGAGGGGTCGATGTTCGGTGGGCATAGCGCCAGGAGGAAGTCTGCAGCTGTTAGATCTGGACACGGTGATAACATGGTTTCTCAAAAGACGCATACTGGGAGGTCCGGAAATGTACACAGTTGCCAGAATTGCATTGACCGCGGGACTGCCAGGAAAGAGGATCGCAAAGAGCCTCGACATCATGCTTGCGGTTTGCGGGCTGGTCGCACGCTTGTGCTCATTGAGAGCTTCCACAAGTGGACATTCCTGAGCATGTCAGTCTTTATTTACTTAGTGGTGGCAATCACAAATGACTAGAAGTTCGAGGCGCAATTACCTGCAATTTGTCTTCGATTTCCGCTACGGAAAGGTCGCCCACAGTGATCTTGTCTCCACTGTCAACAGTCGCAGCCGCCAGCACAGCGAATATGAGAAGACCAGCGACGAGAGCGAGGCCGGTCCTGCGCGCAGGAGAGAAAAAACTGAGTGCCATCGCTGTCGTGAAACTCTGGACTGCAGCAGTGAGCAATTGGGCAGAGACACTCGAGGATAATACCCTGATTAAGCCTGCACGAGAGATATCAGACACCTAGTTCGTTACAGCTCGTTATCAGTGGAGCTAATGTCGGCAAACACGCCAAGCCTCCAGATGCAAACATTAAAAAGTTTCGGAGACATCGATAAGACTTGAACCGCTGTGGAATTTTATCGTCCACCACTTTTTCGAATTATCGCTCCAAGGGAATAAGAAGAATGGGTCGCGTGCTACAGAAGAAGAAAAACCGGTCCTCGACGCCGAAACAGAAGCCCAAGAGGACTGGTCAGCTGAAGAGCGGCAAGAAGAAGATCAACGTCCTGGGAAATGCCATTATCGCTCAAAATTGGTAAGAACTACCAATTCTTAGAATCGATCGAGGATCTGCCACTGACATGAGTTTCACCCCAATAGGGATCGTAAATTGACTTTGACTCAAAACTACCGCCGCCTGGGACTCGTTCACAAACTCAATGCTCCAACTGGCGGTAGCGAAAAACGGCCGACTAAAGATGGGCGCATCGAGGAGGTACCCGAGGATTCCCTCCACATCAGGGGCAGCGCCAAAGCGTCCGCAAAGCAGGCCGCCATGGGGGAGACTAGGGTGGAACGCGACCCGGAAACAGGCAAAATCATCCGAGTGATTCGTGACGAAGATGAGATTGAAGTGGGCGGCCGCAAAGTCAAACGTTCGAATCCGCTCAACGACCCACTGAACGACTTGTCTGAGGATGAGGCAGCCGAGCATACGGCGTCACAAAGAGCCAATGCCAAGAGCGCGATCGTTCAACAGCTGGAGCGTCAGGCAGACCAAGAAGGGCTGGCAGTCAAGGCGAAAAAGCCCCGGCACCAGAGCAAGCGGGAGGAGGAATGGATTATGAGGTTGATCGAGCGTCATGGAGAAAACTACAGCGCCATGGCTCGTGATAGGAAGTTGAATCCCATGCAACAGAGCGAGGGTGATTTGAAACGGAGGATTCGCAAGTGGAAGGCAAACCACTCCTCATAGTTTGTGTCTTGATGCATTCCAGGCGCATGCGGCGTTTTTGATGGGTTGTTGATATCAAAAGTTGTTGTCTAGGCTTCGGTTGTCAGTTTATACTACCTGACAGGTCTGCAACTGTTACATATAGACTTATATCACATTCATGTCCTTGCAGATACCATATCAATATATGAGTCAGAGTTCGACACAGCAGCCTTCCACGAGAAATCGACCATATCTTATGATCACTATCTTCATTCGTATGTAGTGAACGTCGTCTGAACACAGGTGACACTGGTAAGCACACTTCTACGAGAAGAGTCGGCGCTAACATTTCCCTTTCCACATGACAGTATGAGTTGTGTTGTCGAGACGTCGGAGGTATTCATGTTTACTGCAGAGTCACAGTTAGGAGCCGGTGTCCAGCATGCGTTCATAACCTCAGGCAGCATCAGAACGCTTGTTCTCCAGGTATCCGTCTACTCGTACCTTACCCGATTCGGCAACCAAGGGCAACACATAGGTCCCTAGCAACAGCACCATTCAAGGAACCGGGGCAGATGGTGCAGGGGTCAACGCCAGTCAGTCTAGCACTGGCTCTTGCGGGACTTCTGTAACCATCGATGACTCCGGTTCGAATACGGTTCTGGTGCCTGTATAGACCTCCTTTTCCAGCTATACAGGTACCGGGACCGGGACGGATCTGGTCATGGGCATCCACAGATGGGTGTCTATGGCCCGTTCCGTTTTGCCTTTTGATCTTGTTCTCTTCCTTTTGTCATTCTTGTCCATTTCGTGTCCTGGTAGAGTTTCATTATCGAATGCATCCATTGTGCCTCAGCAAGGTTGGCCAGATCTCAACCCAGCTCTGCCTGCTGGTTCCCTAAAGGGCTACCCTTGACTCCTCTCCATTCCATCTCATGGTGTTTCTATCTAGTCGACCCTAGGAGTCATGGAGGTGTCAGTCCCTAGAATGTGAAACGGTTCAAAGATGAGCTGTGCTAGGGGCTCATGTTGAAAAGTAACGGCATCTTCCGCGCTTCATTCACTGCTCAACCACGACGCGTGTACTATCAACAAACATTGCCTCAGCAGCCTAGTTCTAGTTCTAATTCAAGCTCTCTGCAAGTTCAATAGCTGGCCATATCACCACTTTGTCCATACCATTCATTAAGACTATAATCTACACTTTCATCCGACGACACAACTTCAAGCATACCGATAGCAAGCCCTGGCACCCATGAAGACGTATCTAGCCATGATCCTCCTCCTATGCGCCAGTCTCATGCTTCTTGAGCTGGCCAGGGCCCAAGTCAAATAGTACTCTTCATCCCTAGTCCTTCCTACCCTTTGATACTCATAAGACAAAAAGAAGCTGACAACCAGCAGCGACCCTACCAGCGACACTCTCGTCTGCTCTAAACCCGGAGGAAGCTACTGCCCAGAAGGCTCGCTAAAGGGCTCGATGATCATAACCTGCGCTTCTACAACCATGATCGAAGTCCGATCCTGCAATACCATGTACGCAAGTCCACGAACTGGTCCACGAGCCCCTCCCGAAAGCAAACAACTGATCAGTTATCCAGGCTCTCGAGATTCCTTCCACCACTACGCCGGTGCGGCGGTTTGTACGTCCCCAGAGTCTAGAATTACTCCCCTTAACCTTAACTAACAAGAGTAACCAGGTCACGAATCGTCCAAGCACGCAGGAGACGCAGTCTGCGCTTTCAACGGCACAGGATACTCAATTGACGGCGAGATCTCTCACATCCCCGAGACAACCCTCTGCGGAACCTGGGAATCACCTCTCTTCGCCCTCAAAAGAAACTGCAATGGAGGTAGTCCATCACGAACGCAGGGCGCCATCGACGCGGTACACGTCTCTGAGACTCCCCGCCTGAAGAGGGACGTCAATACCCTCCTCCAATCTCCGGCGTCGCTGGATGGAAGAGTCTGCTCCCTGCCATATAACCCATGGAATCTAGGCGACTGTGTCGACGGTACGGCGGTGACTGCGGTGCCGGTTCTACAGGTCGTTGTTTCCGATGGTGCGGAGCGCCAGCGTGTATCTGCATCTTCAGGACATGGGGTGGTGAGTGCTTCTCCGAGTAGGACCAGTTCCATTGGTGTGGTGCCCTCGGCTGTGTCTAGTGCAGGTCCTGCGGCGAGTAGTTGGTCTGTGAGCTTGGGTGGTGTTGCTGCGACTGACGCTGTTAACGTCGGGTCGGGGAGAAGTATGGTGTTCGATGGGGCTTGTTGGAGTATGCTGCTGCTTGTTTCCCTGCGGGTGGTGGGTCATGTCTTGTTGATGCTTGAGTGGGCTTAGTTGTTTGAGGATTCTCCCATGGCGTTTCAATCTATGTTCGTGATGGTTTTACCTTGGTTTTGCATGATCGCCATGATGATCACTTCTTCAATTTGCAAATTACATTGTACAGAAATGTCTGATGTTGGTTGAAAATTACACCTTGTGACAGCCTGAGATTGATTCATAGTCGTGATTCTAGTAGATTTTTCTAATTCTACCTGTCTATGACTGTATCTGAGAAGTGCCGTTATCATTGACATAGCCATGCTTTGACACCCGTCCTTGATCTAGGACGACATAGTAATCCGCGTCCTTGATTGCTTCCAACCGATGCGCAATGGTGATAACCGTTGACTCCCGTAGTTCCTCCCTTATGACCTGCTGAATCTCAAGGGAGCTTTCATGGTCGATAGACGCTGTGGCCTCGTCGAGAATGACAATTGGACTGTGACGCAAGACGGCCCGCGTGAGACCGATCAGCTGCCGCTCACCCTGGCTGAGGTTGCGGCCACCGGCTTCGACGTGCGTCTGTAAATTCCAGCCATGCCGACTACAGACACGCTTCAGCACATCTGCACACTCCTCGTCCGAGTATTCACCGGTCGGATCGAGATTCAACCGGATGCTACCGGGGAAGAGAACAGGATCTTGAGCAACGAATGTGACACGGGTTCGAAGCGCCTGCGTATTGACTTGCGCGATATCGATGCCGTCGACGACGATCCGGCCCGATTCGGGGCGAATGACGCTGAGCAGCGAGACGGCTAGTGTGGACTTGCCGCTTCCTGTTCTGCCTATGATGGCCGTTGTCGAACCTCCGGGGATTGTAAGAGAAATGTTGCGGAGTGAAGGCTCCAGGTGCGGTGCGTATCGAATGGTCACGTCTTCGAATGTGAGGTCCTGCCCAAACCGTGGCCAGGATGCCGGGGGTTCAATTGTTCCTGGGTTCTCCTGCTCAATATGAAGCAGCTCGTCGATCCGTTCAACTGAGACAAAGTCCATTTGTAGCTGGCCATATTGTTTGCACAAAGCATGGGTGGATGCAACAAAGTTGTTGGCGGCTATCAGTACAAAAGCCGCGAGACCTGGAGTGACATTGGTGTATAATGCCAGAACGGTGAGGCAAAATGTGGACGCAGCTGACAGAGTTTCAAATCGATACATTAGCCAACTTTGAAGTGACCAGTAGAAATGATCCATGCCCTGGAATTTGTCTACGACCGCGATGACTCTGTTTTGGAAGCGTTCTTCCGCGTGGAACGCACGAACAGTCGTCAGGCCATGCAGGAGCTCGCCAAAATTCGAGATCAGAGGACTAAGAGACACCATCTCAAGTCGTCGCAGGCTTTGTGACGTTGGCAGGAATTGGAGAAATGTGAAAATGAAAGCTGCTGTGAGAGTGAATGAGAAACCAAGAAATGCTGGTGTCACCGATGCTATGACCACAATTGAGGAGATCCAGGTGATGGCTTGGAACGCAATAACCTGAAACTGTTCACTAATGTTACCGTCAACCACTCCGATATCCGACGTCAGTCGGTTCATCAAGCGACCGATAGGAGTGACATCGAAGAAGCGGAATGTTGCCTGGCTCACTCGAACCATGACCTCGTGAAAAAGTTTCTTGCCTGCACAGTAGACAATGACCAGCATCAAAAGTTGCGCAAACAGAAGCATGGCCGATTGAAACGTTGTTATCACAAAGAAGGCCAGAAGCCAAGGACGCACGTCTTCGAATGGCGCTGGTAGCTTTTCCAGGGGATCTGTTGGGTTCCAACGGAACACCTGGGACCACCCATAAGGTACAACCCATTGTCCTGCGGAATATCTGCCTTCGGGGGTGGAATGGCTGAATGCCAGGAGAATGTGGTTGTAGGCTTCACCCCACTCCTTTAGGAACCACGATTGCCCTACCGACGTTAATCGGTAGATGGCCAAGATAAATACTAGTGAAATCCACCATCTATATCTTCCAGCCCTGATGTAGTTCCAATAGACTCGGGCTTGCACGCCCCATTCCGCACGGTGCTCTTCCTCGATGAACTTTGTCGGAGCCGAAGCCGCAGCCTCTCGAAGAGCGCCTTGAATCTCGCTTTGGGCCTCGGCTGTCTTTGCTAAATGCGATTGGACATCTTCATCAGCGGCCGAATCCATAGACACGGCCTGTTTACCGTGAATTGTAGCCCGGCCATCTTCAATGTGCACTATTTGATCGGCGATATGACTGACCAGCGCGGTACGATGTGTAACGAGAACAACGACGCGGTTTTGCATCAGAGGACCCGTAAAGCACTTTCGAACCACGGTCTCAGCAGTGTTGTGATCAAGAGCAGAAATTGGGTCGTCAAGCAACAAAATCCTAGCCGTACTGTAAAGTGCTCGCGCCAGCGCAACGCGGGCTTTCTGGCCGCCAGAAAGGCCTATACCATTCTCACCCACAAAAGAAAGGTCTCCATGCTCGAAATTCTCGAGATCAGGAAGCAAGGCACACGCATCCAGAACTTTCTGGTACCTTTGCTCATCATATGGCGAGGAGAAAAGGATGTTGTCTCGGATACTCATGCTCTGGAGCCATGGTGTTTGAGCACAATAGCCCACCATCTCATTAGGGATTTCAGCAGAGCCGCCAATCCTGTCCAGTTCGCCGAGAAGTGCTTGAAGTAGAGCCGTTTTTCCAGCCCCTACCTTACCAGAAACAACAGTCAGCCCCTCGGATATCCTCAAACTGATATCTGACAGCACCGGACCGACTCGACCAGGCCAAGCATATGAGCAATGCTGTAGCTGAACGGAAAAAGAGTGGGCGGGATCGGTAGTAGGTGTCTCCTTGTTCGGCTCGGCCATGAAGTCCTCAATTCTTTCGACGGCGATAGATGCATTGATCAGTACTGTTATGAGACTAGGGATATCTCTAAGGCGGGTTTCCAGCATAGTAAACAGCTGCAAGGCAGGGAAGATTATGTCAATGCGGAGAGGATGACCAGCCAGAAGGGTGTAGGCATACAGAGCCACTACAGGGAACACACCGCTAGCAAAAGTGTTCACGAAACGAATCAGGATGCTCCACAGGTTGGTGATGATACGAAGGTTCAGCTCCGATTGCCTAGCATCCATAACCTGCCGGTACCAGTGATCCTGCCATCCATACCAGCGAAGGTGACGAAGTGCTTCGACAAATTGAGAAGTTATCTGAAGTCTGGCATCTGTTGCGAGTCTCCGCACTCGCTCCCAACGGAGGAGTGTACGAGTAATGACGGCGTTCAAAGCCTGAGCAACCAGGATTGCTAGGATTCCCAGGAAGCATGATGGCCCAAAAAGCTTCCAAACAAGCACGACTGCAATGATAAGTCCAAGAGGCTTGTCAATCAAGGAGTCGACTTCCCAAAACCGCTGGGCGACTTCGTAAACATCACCACGGAGCAAATTGAAAATCTTGCCCATCGAGGCAGCCGATTTGGCTGCCTTTTTCTTGGTTTGCCGGCGGCCAGAGAATATCCCACAGAGTTTTCTTCGCTTGGGAATCTCCACTTCTTCGTCTGTATCTTCTTCGACAAGCTCTCCGTTTGCTGCCCCTTCATCCTTTTGTTCTGACTGGGGCTCAAAAATGTTCTTCCTAGAGAGTGCCTTCTCGTAGACCATCATGATCATCTCCCCTCTGCTCCTCTCGTAGCATCGTCTACCGAACCAAAGGTTGAGTACCTGCGATTGCGCCGCAACCACACGAAGGACGAGAGTGGCCAATGCATAGGTCAGGGCAGGGCGTTTCCCTGAGCTCATGTCCTGCATGGCTTGAAGGAGTTGCTGCAACAAGATTGGGGTCGCGAAGTCTGAGGATCAAGTCAGCGAATATTTCTGTAAAATGCACAAGAATTCCTGACCGCATATCATCTGCACAATTGCAATGGTGGAAACAATCACTACATCAATCCCGTTCGCACGAAGCAGACGACCAATCACTGAGCCTTTAAGTCGACGAAACTTGTCATGTAACCTGCGATGTTGGAATTCGAAGCCAAGGAACCAGACGTCGTCCTCGTCCAATCGTCTTTTCTTCCCAGTAGCGATGAGCGGTGCCATCCATGACACACTAAGGAATTGCCACAATCTCAGATTGTCTTCTGGACTGCGAAAGTCGCTGGATGGGGGTTGTCCAACAGCAGCGATGTCATAAATGGGAACTGAAGGCTCGCGGACAGGCATGAGCAATATAGTAACACATCCAGCCAAAGCTGCGCCAGCCGCAACATAATACGCAGGCAGTCTTGTCACTGCGTAGGCGTCATGGTTCGTAATAAACGACAATTCCACAGCAAGCTCTGTGATGAAGTATGCAAGCATCCAAGCTGGACTTGTCCTTGGACGTGCTATACAAATGAAGATCGCTGCAACTGTCTGAGGGACGAATCAGCTCAAGTTCCCCCACGATGCGGGCTATCTTACCCATGACACAAGGAGAGCTATAGTAGCCACTTCAAAGCCATTTGTAATTTCTTTTACGACCTCAGCCGCGAGGCCTACGAGTGTGATAAGGGAAAGGCTGATCACCCATCCCACCCTTTGCTTGATTGACTCCACTGGTAAGTCCGACCATTCCTCAGAACGTTCTGAGATGAAGGGTTTCGTCCATTCCGGACGCCAGTGGTACAGAAAATGGCTGAGAAAGTACAATACAACAGCCCCTATGATGACAATTGCCGGTATTGTGGAGAAATAATGCATGGCACATCTCGACAGTCGAGCATTGGCCGAGTCCTAGCATCATTTATGTTAGAGCGGGGTGAAACAATATAGAACGAGTCTCGGAGTGCAATACCCAAACTGGATGGCAAGAATGAAGTACGCCATAATTCTGAACGAGCGACATCAATTCATACCTGATCCCTGAGTATTGAGATGAATACTCAGACAATCTTTTCTCTCAATGTTGTCCTGAGCGCCTGTGCTTCCTTGGTAGGTGGCTTGCTCTAAACGGAGGCGGATTGGCGGAAGGCAAGCCTGGATGCCTAAGGCACCATGTAGACTAAGCTTTGGGCCTGAATTTGGGAGGCTGAAAACCGAGGGATTTTAGGCATAATTTCCCCACATTTCACGCCTTACTGTCTGCTTTATCCAAAAATACATGAAACATATGGTTTTAGATTTGCAACAATATATTAATGAGTAGGTATCACTTGAGAAATTGGCAGCATGCAGGTTTCATTTGATGGAGTGTGAAAATAGAGGTTTACCTAGCCTCAGGCAGTCACCATCAATATTCTAGAATAGTAAATTACCGCGGAATATTAGGAAAGAATGTATTTTTAAAGACCAGGAATACAGTGTGCGATCAGCACGACGAAGTCAAACGAAGATCAAAATGGACATGTCAGAGGACGGAAACGTAAAAAATAATAGCAGAGGTGCAAATATGGGTAAAATATTATCTATCCTAGGTACTCATTCGAGCCATTTCATGTATCAAACCCCCTGGTCTAATACGACGTTTCTCCCATTCAGATAAAATCATAAAGTATTAGTCCTGTGTACTCATCAGGTTTTTCTTTGGTTCGAAGGTTTCTCTTTGTCAATTTCAGAGGACACGCTGACTCTCTGCACGACCCGTACCCATCGTCTTCTCCGCCATTCGCCCATGCCATTGAATCCTGAATGCCCTTGCTCCTCCCAGTCCCGCGAGACCGACTTCTGCTTACCTTTCTGCGTCTTCTTCTTCTCTTGGATTGAGGCCGGCTTCGAGGTTGAGCCGTAATCTTGATAACCTAATGCAGTGGCCACGGCGTCCTCGTCTCTGGACGCGGATTGAGAAGGTAGATCCCAAACCCAGCCTCCAATCTCTTCATTGGCCATGCTTCCTTCAGGACCAGCTCCGGGTATCTCAAAGCCTACTCCGGTGATCATGCGCTCAACGACCCACTCGCGGCAGTCAAGGTCCAACTTCCACTTCTTTGTCTTCCATGCCCAGCCAGGTGGAGGCTGAACGTCTTCGAAGAAACGACATCCTCTTGGGCGGTCTCCTGCAATTCGGGACGGTGACAAAGGGTCATATGGCACTGGACTGAAAATGAAATGCTCCCACTCTGAATCGGAATAAGGGGCTAGTGAGCGATTTTGGATCTCGAAGATCTCTACCTCACGCTCTTCAGGATATGAATCCAAAGAAATATCAGCCAATGAATCAAGCAACGATACGGCAGCGGATGGGTTCGACGGCATCGGCAACCCATACATGTCTGGAGCCTTCTTTTTCTCTGCCCGGCCAGCCTGCGGGTCGGCTCTCACAGCGCCGCTACTGTCTCCTAGGAGGTTCTGCAAGAATTCTTGTAGGCCAGGATGATTGGATAGGACGGCCGCATTGCCACCAAGTAGTAGGAGAAACCGCCACGGCAAGAGATGCGCTGTCAGAAACAGTAGCGCAGCAGTGATTGTTAGTACAAGGAAAACAGTGGATGAGAGCTTTTCATTCGAAAAGTTGGTTATGGGTGCAAACAGCGAGATAGTCGCATCGTGCACATCAGAAAAGTCGGCCATGACGTTCTGGAGATCACGCATGTTTCTGAAAAAGTCCTTTGATGTCTCAGACGCTGGCTTGATAGTCTTTGCAGGCGCAAGTGCCGGACCCTGGTATGAGTAATAGGGTGTGGTGCTGGAAGTAGACATTGAAGGGGGAGGTGGATGCCGTGCCGCGAAGGCTGGGACCATGATGAATAGTAAAATGACGGTGATGGGAAGTACCACCAGGAGATTAGGATCCAGGCATATAAACGAATAGATAAAAAGGAAAGAGAATGTATGGGAGGATTTCCTCCAGCTTAGCAGACGTTCGACTCGGTTCTGAAAATGGAAAACAATCCCGATCCTGTGAAAGCAGTTAACAACATGCGAGTTCAACTTTCCCTGATAAATATTTTATCTGACATACCTGGCGTTGAAGCGACGAAAATTATTAGCCATCAAAGGAAGGCTAAACGCAGGCCGCTTAACATCTGCAATCGTACGCTTGTCGCCTCCCAACACAGACTCACTGTCTACATCTTCTGCGGGAATGACTTGCTCCAGAAGCCTTACATCAACAACGTTAGTCCATTCAGCACCTATTTTTCTCCCATATCAGCGACAAGAGGGTACGAACTTGGCGAATAACTTGTCTTGCAAAGACTCCGACCTCCCATGCCGATGTGACTTGGTGTCATTTTTGCCGACTGAGATGACGGGAATGGGCTCGTCACGGTTGGCAATAACTTCAGCAGCACAGCCGTCATCCATCATGCCCTACGCTGGAACTGTGTCGAGGGAGAGTGTTGGAGCATGAAGGCGCATTTCTTGTGGCAGATGGGCCGAAGTGATAGGTCTCTCCGCACAGAAGCACATGCACGTCAACTGTTCTGATATGGATGAGCCGAGCAGGGTTGGATTCAGTAAAACAGCGTGGTAATTTGGGTAATGAACATGTAATTTGTGTACAGTTTGATCAGCTGTAAGGAGCAGAAAATGACAAAATCCACCCATCATGCACTAATCTCGGAAGAGCACTGTTTGCCCTATTTGCACTTGCCGTTACCCAATTAGGCATCTCTAGAGCTACAGAAAAGGAGCCAGGGGGCACGCACTACCTTACTTTTGCCTACGCTAAGGTAGACTACTAGGAAACTTGCGATAGTTAGTACTCCGTTAGGTACTCCATAGTACTAGCAGAGGTCAACAACAGCTTGTTGTTTACCCAGTACCCATAATTATATTTTGTCAGTTCCTCGACTTTTCTTCTCTGCTTCAATTTCCTAGCTGGCATTGGGTGGTCTTGCTGGCTTCTTTCTGCTCACGATATTATCTGTATATTTTCGTTCATCATATTGGGTGCCTTCCTCGTTCTCTTAACAATATTTCCCCTTTTTTCTTCTTTCCCGTTTGCTTGGGCTCTAGTGGTCCCATTTTTATTATCTACGCCCGTAACTTTCTTAACGCCAAGTCCAACCGAACGGCGAAGAGTTCCCCTCTGTGCACCAACAGCCCTGTGTCGACACTCCGAAAAGAAACCGAATCGATTTTAATACGCTGCCAATCCTCTTATCTGGTCGCGTACTTCGGTTTGGATTTCCGTGGTCGACTCCTGGCAAAAGAGACGTGCTCTTTTTGTTCCCCGCAATGGACCGGTAGCGACCGTTGACGGGTTGCGCGACGGTGTTGTCAAGCCTCTTCTTTGTTTGAAGGCTGGGAGATCAGTGACGCCTCCGTGCCATTGGCAAAGGAAGACGACACTGGGCTCCTCGTTCACCTCTAATTTCTCAGCGAATCGCCCTGAACTTGCCCCTATCGCTACTGGCAATACTGGGATCGGAGCCTTAGGATGCCAGAAAAGCTACCGTCGCAGCAGACTCCAGGGAGGGGGCAGCTGCGTAAAGGACAAACGGTCTCGACGAGTCCACCTCGGAATGAAGATTCAGGATCTGGAGGTAAAATATTCAGGCGATGGTTTTGTCCGGTGTGGAATCGCAAGTTGCAGTGGCTAACGAATACGGGTCTAAACAGCAGAGGGTCCCGCACGAAGACGCTTGCATAAACATGCATCGACACCTTTCCTTTCGGATACTCCTCCTTCCTCGAAGGCAACAGCTGGGTCTCGCATAAGCATCATGACCAAGAGAAGACTCTCGATTCGAGATCAAAAAGTGCCGCAGGGCCCACGGCCGCAAGAACCCTCGCGCAGAAGGTATGAGCTCAAAATCTCCAATTTCCCTCTGTGTTTTCGTTTAGTTTGACAAGGAAGATTGTATTATATCTCCTGCCTCAGTGATGATCATTCTTCTAACTTTCTGCTTCGTAGTAATGCACCCGGCTCGTTTTTCCACTCGGGACACTCCTCAATTGATTCAACAAATGAATCAACGCGGAGTACCAACTCTCGCGTCAGTCTTCGATCCACCAGCATGGGGAATTTGGCGAAGTCGGACTACAACCATACACCTTCTGATCAGATGGAGTTCCTTGCCCCGGTCAACTTTGATGATTTCCACAACAGCATCATGGCAGAGCCGAGTCTAAATCACTTTCCTATGCCGGGCACTGGGAGTTCGAACCCTGGAAGCCAACTCTCAGGTCCATTTACGCGGAATCCGTGGGCAGATAACAACGAATCCAGCTTTGCCAGTCGCTCAAGAAGCAATTCCGTGCGGAGAAAGAGTGAGGTTTCACGTTTATCGAACCAGAAT